ATGATTTTGTGATGCCATTACTTTTCTTGATATTTACAGTCGAATAAACCAGACCGACTGATGTTCTTTTTAAAATCCATTATATTCTAATATTTTATTAGAATATACAATTCTGGTTTTGGTTAAACAATTCATTTATTTTTATGAAGATAGTATAATAACAAGTTCTTGGACAAAATAAGGAATTAAAAAAAGGAAATAAATCATCATCAAAATATTTCTCATACAAGAAACATTAGATTTATCGAAATGTATTAGCACTATGCCACATAATCGACTTTTAGTTCTGATATACATTTATAACAAACAATTAGCAGTACTTGTAGTGCATTTGTCAGAAATGACGAAGATAAAAAGGAGAAAAAAAAAGTGCATATGCTTTCATTTAAAAAAATTTATACTAGCAATCGGAACTATAAAGAAAAAACATTTTCCAAGTTCAAAATAGTGAGATATCCACCTATGAAAACTACTTATTAATAGAGATTTTCCTGTAATTTATCTATTATTTCTAGATATATATGCTTATCAAAATCCTCAACTTGAACAAAGTATATCAAAATGTCAATCACATACAACAATTGATTTATCTAAACAACAATTACTTGATCGTGATATAGAAACTATTATTAAACAAGGTCTAATTGAAAAACAATGTACAAGACTTGATTTAGGTTATAATTTAATAACATCCAAAGGTGCATCAATATTAGCTGATGCTCTAAAAAATAATACAACATTAGAAGAATTAGATTTTCATAATAATCGTTTATCAGATCTTGGTGTATATTCATTAGCTAAAGTTTTATCATCAAATAATTCAATATTAAAAGCTCTTGGTCTTGGATCAAATGGTATAACAGATAATGGTGTTGAACATTTAGCTGAAATGTTAAAAACAAATCGAACAATAACATGGTTAGCATTAGCTGGAAATCAAATAGGTGATTATGGTGTTAAATTATTAGCAAATACACTTGCACATCAAAATACAAGTTTACTTGTTTTATCACTTCATGTTAATAAATCAATTAGTGATACAAGTGTTGATATAATTATTGATATGTTACAACATAATAAATCATTAAAAAAACTTTGGATACAAGATTGTAATATATCTGAAGATGGAAAATTAAAACTTCGTGATGCAGCAAAAATAAAACAAGGTTTTTCATTATATATGTAATAGATTAGTATTTGATTTGTTTTATTTTTTTTCAACACTTGTTTTAGTAAAATTTTGAAAATATATTTTAAAGACAATTCTTTATGAAGGAAAAAAATGAATTTCGTTACATATTGCATTAATTAAAAAAATAGACTAAAAATAAACGTCTGCATCTTTTATTAATAGTACAAATTGGATAGACATCTTAGCAATTATCCGGCACAGACCGTGAGTAATGTAATTTCCTTCTCATGAAACATGTTAGGTATAATCACGACATCGAAGCCATATCTATTATCATTGACTTACACCAACAGTGAGTAGTGATTCATAAATTGAATCATATGATGGTTGACTTCCTTTTTTTTGTAATGTTAGTGGTTCCATCGTGTTTCATATTTTAATCAGTCGGGATTTGCTCTAACAGTTTTTCATTCAATTAGTCATTATTATTACTTGACATTACTTAAACTTTGAATACAGAATCTTAGTTTAATATCTATAGATAAGATTTAATTATGTATATTTTACTTAATATTAGGCTCAAACGCACAAAAAAACGTGACTTCTATGCTCTTTAGATGAATTCTTCAAATAATTTAATAACATGATAAATAGAACCATATTTTTTTTGTAATGAATACTATGATGGATAATGATGCAATACTTGTTGTCCTTTTTAATTTGATGATATTGAGTCAAATTAATATTAAGTTACTCTATCTTTTAACAAAATCATTGCTGTATAATAGTGCTACAAACAATCACAAATCTATATATAATTAACATTTCTGTGAAACTATTTTTTTTTTCTATTCAATAAAGAAAAAGACAAGTGATATTTATGATTCCAATCTATATCTATTTGAGAAAACAATTTGGTTCTGACATTAGACGATTATCGTTAATGTTGAACGGAACAAGAAGTTTTGGGAAATTTTGAACTGTTTGTAGAATCGTGGTAGTTCTAGACCATTTTTTTTGATTCCTATCTAAAAACTAACTAACATAAAAAATAATAATTGAAATGTAAATAGAAAATCATAATCAAGTTTCTTTATACGTACTCTTTATCAGTAATTGGAATAACTCGAGGTCAGACATTTACTTTTATACTTATAGTAATTTTATAATAGCGTTGAAAAACAAGGCATTAAAATATCACATTTCCAATTCTTAGTTTATGAATTAGAAACTCCATTGAGTTCATCATTAACTTGTATCTCTGTTAAACTTGATCGACTTTTTTTTTTGTTACTGAGTGTGTATGCTTTTTTCTGAACCTACACATTGTTTATTTATCACGTATTGGCTTTCAATCAGAGAAAATAATAAAACTAGGATTTATGTATAAGTGCTATGATAACTACGGAATTCTCATAGTATTATCTACCCATGTTTGAATCTAACATTGCTATAGATTTTCTTTCAAATGAAAAAATTGAAGACATTGCATACAGAACATATAACATACATAAGTGTCGTTTTGTTGTCTAACCGACAATCATTGAAAAAAAAATAAAGATGTATACATGTAATGTTGGACCTGTCTACGTGTTACTCAATCATTTGACATATTTTAGACGTCTACCGTTGTTCTACAAAGAAAACAGTCGAATATGATGTCAGAATAACAGCATGTAATGAAACAAAATTGAAGATAACCAATGAACAAGAGTGTGGTCTTGAATATGCATTAAACCAGATTTTAATCAAAATTTTTGTCGTTAACATATATTTGTATACTGAAACTTTTTTTTTAGAAAAGTTTTTTTCTAAGAGAATTCATATTGAATCGTATTCTTTCTGTTGAACACAAGATCAAGTCATTGATTTTATCTAAATAACAGATTAGAACTGTCGATTTTACAGCCGATATAGAGCCTATGTAAATCAAAACTTCTGTCGATAATCTACCAAAACAATCATTTGTCGGATAAAATAATTCTTGGGAATAAATTTTCCTATGCCAAAGTTAGTCGATTTGTACTCTGAAAACCTGTTTTTTTTTTGTTTATTTTATACCATTTTTAGAGAATAGAACACTTCTACAACATATGGAAAAATCAGCTTAAAGAATTCTACTGTGGCTATACAACAGTTCACACACTGTCGAAATTGTTAATGTATTCAATAAAAAAAAAAACATTAGTTCGGGATAATGTTGAACAAAATAAAATTGAGTCAATACATGAAATATGACATCTTAAAAGTTTAATTTCTTCGGTTGTCAACAATCGATCTGTCAACATATATGTTGCATTAACATCGATTGGTTTTCTCATACAATGTGATGAGTACTTAACTAATTTGTTACCCGTTTCACCACATGCGCTACAAAGCTGAATTTGATGGTTTAAGATATGGTTGATTTCTACGAGTATATGATATTGAAAAAAGTAAACTTTGAATAGTGTCATGATTTCTAAAGGGACTGATGGGAACTATCTCAATAGACCATCTACCTTTATATGAAATCAGTTAGAATTTCGAAACTGATTTATGTAATACGAAAAGCACATTATTCAGAAATTTGAGAAGACAAATTTAGACTTTTTTGTTATTTCAACTGTCCAAAAAAATTGAAAAACATTCTCAATAAAACAAATCACTCAAACAACAGATTTATTGTTCATTTAAAAATAGAATGTGCTCCACTATTTTTTCAATAATTCGAGAACGCAAGTAGCTAGAGATTCGCGATTTTCACCAATCGAAAGAGGAGACCGGCACATGTCTTTTCCTCTGATAATATGTAAGAGGAAGTCCTTTTAAAACTAATTATTTTCGAAAAGCATATAAAAGAAGACATGAAAATGACCTGCCATCTCGATAAAATTTTGATTTTGATCTTTGATTTAGATAGAGGGACTTCAAATCTATAGCTCAAGATATAATGCACTTTCTTACTTTTCATTACATTTCCATCGAAATATCAAGGTACTCTGTTAAAAAGTGACAAAAATTAGTAAAAAATTAGCAAAGATCCCTATTATTTGCTTATGTAAATATATGATTCAGTTTGCTTAACGTTAGAATGTAATAAGAGAATCAATTTGCATTGTATCGTGAACGATAGACTTGAAGTCTCTCTATCTGAATCAAAGGTCAAAATCAAAATTTTATCGAGGTGGTGGGCCCTTTTCATGTCTTCTTTTATATACTTTTCGAAAATAATTAGTTTTAAAAGGATTTCCTCTTACACATTATCGGAGAAAAAGACGTGTCCCGGTCTCTTCTTTCGATTGGTGAAAACTACAGGTCTCTAGCTACTTGCATTCTCGAATTGTTCAAAAACCAGTGAAGCACATTCTATTTTGAAATGAACAATACGCATTTCGACTCAAATTTATTAAATTTATGCATTGCATTATAGGCTGTTATTGTTTTTTCTCACAATTGATTCATTCAATTATATTGCATAAATAAAAATCAATCAGAAGATGTAAACTGAATTCGATCTATATCGAACATTCGACAATTTTTTGTAAATTGAGTTGATCTGATCTGTTATTCACAAGCACTGGATGACTGTTCCTGTGTCATCATGATAGAAGAAAATCATAATTATTAATACCTTGTGTCTCATATTACCAAATTATTATGAAAGACCTGATTCATGTTCTTACTACAAGATTAAATATAAAATATTGTTTCATACTTTTAAGATTAAAATGATTCATTCGCTATCGTTACTAACTTCATTGCATAGTTCTTGCACAATTTCGTTTCTTTTTCTTTTTCTTTTCTTTCATAATCATGAAGAAACGCAAGAGCATTGTTTTGTTCTATAAAAACTTGCTGTTTCCTATTGATTTTATCGTAGATCAACATGAAAGACAAAGTGAATACAACAAGTGAACAAAACGGTTATTCTTCTTTATGTGCAGATGTTGGGTCCAATACACCAATTGAAACTCTTGTTTCTCTTGGTCCGAAAAATCGTTATGGTGAAATACCAACAATTCGACTTTTTCTTAATAAATATCATACATATCCATGTACTTTGGATTGTGAAACGGACGATGATGACATCCGTTTTCATGTTACAACTATTCTTAATTATATCCGTGATGAATTAAAACATGATATCAATAAAGATTGTATCACACGAAAATATCATCGACGTACAAAACAAAAATATGTTGATTCACGTGTATCTGATTTAGGTAATGGTATTATGATTAATTTTATTGACTCATCTTTAGATTCTGATGTTCACAACAAAAATGAATTAAAAGCTGATTATGGTGATAATTATTTTTTAATTTCATCAGAAATCAAAATTTTTTATTTACCTGAACATGATTCATTTGTACAAGATTTATCAACTCATTTTTCTCAAATGATTGTATATTCATCTAAATCATGTATTTTACAAATGGTTTGTCGAAGTCAATGCGGTTATTATCTTGATGGAGTTCGAATTAAAAAACCTTTGATTACTGATCTTGCTCTTCATTATGGTAAAGGCTTTCTATCAACACATGAAAAAATTCTTAAAAATTTAAATAAAAAAGAATCAAAAGGCATTGTTCTTTTACATGGTGTTCCAGGTTCAGGTAATTATAAACTCAATTTTACTATCAAACTAGTTATTATTGATACTATTAAATAGGAAAAACACATTATATTCGATATTTAATTCAAGAAATTCAAGATAAAACATTGATTTATATTTCACCTGAAATGGCAAAAGAAATATCATCACCGGAATTTCTTCCTTTTCTTATGCGACATGAAGATGCAATTCTTATTATTGAAGATGCAGAAAATATTATTCAAGATCGAAATGAATCTTCAACACCATCACAAGCTGTTGCTAATCTTCTCAATTTGTAAGTTAAGTCATTATTATTTTCTACATTTTCTCTACCTTAAATCTTCGTTTTATAGATCTGATGGTTTATTAGGTGATGCAATGCATCAACAAATTATAGCTACATTTAATTGTGATTTAACAACAGTTGATCCAGCTCTATTACGTAAAGGACGATTGATTGCTAATTATGAATTTAACAAATTAGATCTAGAAAGTGCTAAGATTTTATCGGATAAATTAGGGTTTGGTACTGATGGTATAACTGAACCAATGACTCTTGCTGAAATCTTTAATCAAGGCGATAAAGATAATCAATCAATAGTCTAGACAATTCGAATATATAGATATGAAGTGACGGTGGATCACGGAGAAAGAAGGGCTGAGCCCCTCTTTGGCTACAAATTTTGACGCTGCATCTCTAGAAATGTCAGATTGACACGTATATTTATGATGTCCTTTGATAACACGCTGTGTTGTGATTCGTATTATCCTTTTTTTTTATACTTTTTCTGACTTTCTTTCTTTGTGTTTCTTTCCTTCGTATGATTGATGATTTTTGTGTTGATTGCTTTCATACTAAATATATATACATACAGCGCAAAAAGAAAGACTGTTGTTTAAGACTAGATTCATAATAATATGAAATTTCTATGCTTCTCTCTCTAATACTATACATCATTGAAAGGGTTCTAGGACTTTTCGTTGCAGGACAAATTGTTGCGGACAAATCGTTGCAGACAAATCGTTGCAAGGACATTTCGTTGCAGGACAAATCGTTGTAGGAAAATTAGCCGCGGACATATTGTTGCGGACAAATCGTTGCGGACAAAACGTTGCGGACAAATAGTTGCACGGACAAAACGTTGCAAGGACAAAACGTTGCAGGACAAAACGTTGTAGGGACAAAACGTTGCAGGACAAAACGTTGTAGGGACAAATAGTCGCATGGACAAAACCTTGCAATCGTCAAATTTTATATTCTACAATAATAGATAAGAAATTCAGTTTTCATTTTCCAATATGTCAACTATTCCATTCTTTTGAAATATTTATTATTCTAGAAGTATAACAACGAATCAACCAATCATTGTCTACAAAAATTTAGTAAATAATTTTTTTTTTTTATTATGCAATAACTGTGATCCTAAGATCCTAACAGTACCAGAAATGAGAAGAGAGAGAGAAAAAAAAAGTGAAATAAAACGTACACAGAACATATAAAAAGAAGGAAGGGTTCTACATATAAAAATGCAGAGGAAAGAAACCTAGTAAATAATTTTTAAACTATCACATTGGCACTGACATTTTTCAAATATTGTATACAGCAAATTATAGACTATTGCCACGTTTTGTCCATACGACTATTTGTCCCTACAACGTTTTGTCCGTGCAACTATTTGTCCCTACAACGTTTTGTCCGTGCAACTATTTGTCCCTCGACGTTTTGTCCATGCGACGACTTTTTTACAACGATTTGTCCGCAACGAATTGTCCACAACGATATGTCCGCGACTAATTTTCCTACAACGAATTGTCCTGCAACGAAATGTCCTTGCAACGATTTGTCTGCAACGATTTGTCCGCAACGATTTGTCTTGCAACAAAAAGTCCGGTCACCCATTGAAAGAGAATTTATTTTATTTATTTAGGTACATTCAAATGAACAGAGACATTTACTAAAATCATGATCAAAAATAGATCGTTTGGTTCCATTTTGTGAGATTCATAATATACTACTTTATTGTCATTATTTCATTCGCTAAAGGACTTGTCAATTGCTCAACAGAATCTTCATTATTTGTTGTAATGTACTAGATGAACTATGATTTCACAAAAGAGAAAAGTTCATTGAATGAAGAATAATTTGCGTGTCGACTATGAATACTTGAGTTTCTTAGAACCAATTATTCAGTTGCAGACAATAAAGAACGCATAAAAAGGTTGTTAATACCGTATGTAAATTAGGTGCTTCTGATGTTGCTACGAAATTGTAGTCAACTGTTGGATCCTACTCTAAATTACAGTAATAGATCAATAATTGACAATTACAGAACGTCAATATGAATGTATAAAATCAGAATGAAAGTTTACAAAAAAGATAGAAAGTATGAGATTAAATAAACACTTTAAGAAAATTGATTTCAGTACTTTGCCATATACATATAGTCTTAGCGTTTCTTGGAATAAATAGACAATCATGGAAGCATCATGAAGTTCGGTCGAGTTCACATTCAAATGTTTCTGAACATCATCAAATTTTTTAGAGTGTCTATAGTTCATCAGTTGTTGAACCGTGTCGTTCATTGTTTGTAGATTTATTTTAGCTAATCCTAAAACCCTTTCTTTTCATTAATTATCTGAGAATAGCTGTAGTCTAGACTCGTTTTCAGACGATCAGGTCTTTTGCCTGCTCGTTAATTCTTTATTAAATATCTACTATTCATAGAAAAACTGAATAACAATAACATTCTATAGTCACTGGATAAATGAGTAGATAATATCGATGCTTCTTATTTGAAATATCGTTGATAAAATAATCCAGATGCTTTAGTATTTCACTTTTACACCTTTGTATTCAATCATTTTTCGAATCGCATCCGAAAAAAATGTAACTCGATGTGATTATTGCTTTCAGTTTTTTCATGAAGAAAAAACAAACCAACGAAAAGTGTATACTTTTTCATCTTACAAATATTTGTATTTTTTTAGATAGACAATTATTTGTGAAAAATCAAATATGTTAAATAACTTTTTGTACATCATAATATCATCTGTTATACATAAAAGAAAACATTCACAAATTTTTCATTGCTTGTATTCGATTTAACTAACAACAGTGTCTACAGTATCAGTATTGTTCGTAGTATTATTCATCGATGCCATGATTATTTCATTTTCACTCGAATTAGGAACCGTAATTTTTTGTTTAGGTTTGACAATTGTAAAATAATATACAGCAACACCAATGAAAAAAAGAATGAATGACAAACCAATACCAAGTACAAGGCCAAGAATCAAGGGTAAATCAGATTCTTCTGCTGAATGAAGATAGAATTATTATTAAATCGTATAAATAAACATATGAACATAGAATACATACTAGGTGTAATTGAAGATGTAGTTGTTGAGGTCGTCTAAAATATACAGAAATAAAATTTGATAATTTTCGATGAAAAATTATTTTTGTTCGATTAAATTTTTACGACAAATTTTCAACTCGTTTTTTTTACTTGTATATCGAATCAATAAATTTATTGTGTTACAAACAGCATCAAGTACATACTGACGTCGTTGTAGATTCATTGATTGACACTAATGTTGTTAATATGGTGCTATTAGTTGTGATAACATCTGGCATCGTATTCTTTTCTGTACTAGGTCTAATTAACCAATAAGAAAATAAATTGAATATATGTTAATTATATTATAAAAGAATATACTCGATTGTCGCTATGATTGTCTCATTAATGAAGATCGGATGACTGATACAACAATTTTCAAAATTTTATTTTATAGAAAAAAGCAATATACGTTTTACCTAGTTGATGACATTACAGTCGTATTTACAAGCAATGCAGTAGATATTGAGCTCGTTGTTGTTTCACCACTGATGTACGAATGATTAAGTGTTGTTGTGGATTCCATAGCAGTAAACAACAACTGTGTGGTAGTCTAGAATTGGTTTTGACTACTATAAATGTCGAAATTCATAACTGGTAAAGAAACTTACTGTGGTAATTGCAGAAGATGCTATCAATTGAGTTGTATCAGTGTTATTCGATCTAAGCATAAAATATAGAATAATAATAATAACTGAGCACGATGCAGAGTAAGTTTTTGTTTTTCGTACTACGTACACTTACTGATGAAGAAGAGTTATCCGAGGTGATAGCTCACGTTTGAATTGGGACTACTCTTGTCGATTGAAATTTTCAATAGACTCTAATAACTTCAAAAGCTGTGTATAGGCAATGTTTTAGGCCAAAATTTTTTTTCCTATGTTTTTATAGATATTATATGTAAGATGAAAAATTCTAGTGTTACGGCCATAACGCCATCTCAAATACAATGTATCATTTTGGATGGTTCCCTCGTAAGAAAGTTCCTCTAACTCTTACCCTGCTAGGTTAGGGTAACTCTGCATGCCTATCTCCCATTATAGAACTACCAACAGAGATATTGGTTATTATCAATGTTCTGTAATTAGACGTTAATCCATTGTCATTCTGGATTAAATTTTCACTTATTTTCTTTTTCTTACTTCGAACTTGTGATCTCAAATCCATCAGTGGACAAAATTAAATTAAAATCTGTTATGTGCATTGCTTGACTGGTAAAATCCTAGAAATTAGAATAAGAAAAGATGTGTTGCACTGAAATTCAAATATATTCATACTATGTTTGGAGCGATTGTTGTAAGAAATTCTATAAAGGAAAAAAAAATGTAGTAAAAGAAAGTAGTACTTAAATAGTCCGTACCACATGAACCATCAAATATTTTAATTTCGTCTAAGGCAAACGAGAATCCGGCAGCTCCACCGTCACGAATCATTTGAAACCATATCTAACATTACAATCAAATAATCAAAGTTTTAAATAGAAATCAGAATAGTCAATATGCTAACATTATAAGCAGTTTGTCGTGGATTTTCATATGTAAACTGATGATGTTGCCATTTATTTTCAAGTTTTGCTTTTACGTCAGTTAAAAAGAAGGGTGCTGCACCTGCCGACCATCCAACACTAATTTGTGCACTAAATGATGTATCAGGTACATAATAATAAAAATCGAGACATTGAAAATTATCAATATGATTCTGAATAGTATCAATAGTTGTATACATATGATCAAACGAACCAGCTCTGGGTGTTTGAACCAAAGCATACTTTCCTAATACAATATATTTACTAGAAAAAATATTGGAACTCAACAAGTTATTAACAATAAATTACCAATTATACAATTTCCCGTGCCAGATCGAGTTGGACATGTATAATTAGTTTCTGAGTTGCGTTGACAAAAGTACATTGGCCATGTTTCTGGTGGATTTGAGTATGGAAACACACAAAATTCATTCTTAGGAACAGTCAATGACACTATAAAATATAACGAAATTTCGTAGTTAACTATTGTTTCACATGTACGTACTTACAGATGGACTTAACATCAGACAAAGGTTGTTTAGGTACAGTAGTTGATGTGATGCCATAGAGAGTTTCTAGAGTTGGTGCTCCTGGTGTCCACTGAAATCTACAATTACTTGATAGATCCGGGTCGAAATCACAAAGATAGAGCAATCTTTGAGAATCACAGATTGTTAATATTGAAAGATAAACTATAAATAAGTTAAATATTCACGTCAAAGACTTTGATATCATTACATACAGAAAATATTAAACCAAACTTGTTTCATTATCATATAGAAACCAAACAATATATATTTTTTTCTTTTATTTTATTTAGATCTAAAACATACTAAATACAAAGAAGTAATGATGATAATGAAAATATAACGTCTATGTAACGAAATATTCTTTGATGACATTTTAGTTAGATATTTTCTTCTTACGATAACATAAAGAGTCAAATTAAATCATTCTATGTGCCATAATAACTTAATATAAAAAAAAAAGCAAAAACACTTTAGATGATATTATTTAATCGATAAAATCACGTTATTCAATGGAATATTTAACTTCTTGAAAGAAGATTATTTATATTAGTAAAAATTTTACTTTTTATTCAATGTATTTCCAGCATTTTGCTTTTGTATAAATTAAATAACTTTGTCTAAATATTTAATTTTTGTTTTATTAACTTAATATAAATACATAATTCTATTAAAATAATGAACGATAATTTTTTACTGTTTAATTTTACATATCGTCTTAGACAAATATAATTTTATTTGAATGTACAGTTAAGATGATTGCAGGTACATAAAAAAAGCAAAAGTAGTTAAATATAAATTTTATTTTTTCAAATATAAGAAAATTGTGCTACTTTCTTTTAATTACTATTTGGCAAAGCATTTATTACAAAAAGTATATGTGAAAAAAGAAACACATACCTGAAAATGATAAAGTTTTATATGTGCTATTAGTAGCAATGCAATGAGATAATGTAAATGATATTGTTAATAATATATCAGCAACTCGATTAATTTGGATGGTTGTGTGAAAAAAAAGAAATAAAAACAAACATCATAAATACAAGTTACATATAAAAAAATTTATCATTTACAAGTACAATAACACATAATAACATAAAGAGTAAGTACATATAGTTTCATTGATTTAAATAGATATCACTTAAGAGAAAAAATGATGAACAAGTTAAAAGATATCTAATATTTGTGAGATGTGGAGAATACAAAATCTAAGTGAATTTTTTCTCATTCTCTTGTATATGATTTGATACAGCTTGACAAGTTAGTCACGAATATATAGCTCTTATTGTCATTCTGTCACTGTTTGGTTGAATAAAAGTCGCAAAAAAAAACTTAAATGCTTGAATATATTGCATTCGCAACTGTCAATTCTTTTTTTTTTTCATAGACATTTTCGAATTTCAATTGCATTCTTGTTTTAAACGTGATGAAAATATTTTATTTCGATTCAGCATCAAAGTCTGAGTAGGAACATCTTTTTTGTTTAGAATTGCAATCAAAATTATAAACAAAAAAACGTGTCTAACATAGATAGCTTCAGCATGCCTCATAGCACATATGTGGGAATTAACTGAACCATGGTTATCGAAATTGCTAAATATGAGCGTATTCTTTATTCTTTTATCTAAGTAGCTAACAACTTGACGATTTCAATAAGTTGAGATACTTACTTGTGTCACTTGTTACAGAAAAAAACTAGATAAGTTCGTAAAAATTCTCATAAATACGTTCTATAAGGTATGCTAGAGCTCTCTATATTATATTGGACATAATTTTTGTTTGTATTATCAATTATAAATTCAAATATAACATTTTTCTAGTCAAGTTATGATACTTAATGAAAATAAAAACGAAACTGAAATTTGAAAATTTCTATGAAAATAAGAGTTTGCCAACTTAACATGTATCGAAAGAGAACAAGTTTATCTACAGAATGGTTATTAATGATTCTAATATATTTATACTCCCTCTACATTTCTCTTGCAAAATGCAGATCGCTGACTTTTATTGTCAAAGAAATATTAATAAAATTCATCAATGGTCTGTATATATCAGCAGTGATAGCAGTCGTGAGTATAAAGCATAATAATTATTTCGTTTTTGTTATCAGAAAAAATACAAGTTTTGTTAAGATAATCTTTAAAAAAGTTGAAATATTCACCTTTTTAATTATCAATGTACTTTATATCCTTCTCTGTTGATTAAGTAACATTCAATCAGAAATATTCAATTCTTTCTCTGGCATAGATTCAAAAATTAGCTTTTTCTTTCGTCTACAAAACCAAGTGATGGATGCACTTGATTTGTTTATTCTGTCCATTATTGCTATAATTGGTTTCTTGGGCTATGTAGAAGAGTCAAAAACTACACATTATTAAGACGAGATTACAACAGTAATAAAATAAATTCATAGAAAAAAATTGCTTATAAATATAAATAGTTGCATTCTAATTTATCCTTTCATATTGCTTAACAACAAATACTTAACCAGCAGAATTTCTTACACGACTGAAATTCATATTCTAGTCAATTTATTCGTGAACGGGAATTTCGTTTGATTTAAACTAACTTTGGAAACTTTGAAAAAGAGAAGGAACACGCGATCCATCCTCATTACCTATATAGAGTACATTGAATGTTTTATTTTTATTTGATATTGTGAAATCTTTCACTGTAACTAGAATAATAATAAATATCCTCATCATTCAAAGCATTACTGACATGATTGTGAAATACAATTGTTAACATAGATAATGAAAGTAATGGATTCAGAGTTATTGGCTACACAGGTTCTGCATATAAACATGAGAAATCCTCATAGGTTTTCATATGTTGGTTTTCTAGAAAATCTATTTTTCAGACTAAAAAAACTTTTTGTCAAAACATTTTTTCGATCGATCCAGGTTATAGAGCATATTAAATTCCTCAGAATATAATAACCTATTCTATTTAAATCATTCTTTTTTGCAGAACGTATAGCCATTTCAATTCATGCATCACATTCATATAATTGCTCTACTTAAAAATTATAGTTGAAGAACAGAAAAGATTATTGTCTCACACTGAGCTCGATATACTCTGTAATCTGAATGGACTACAAAAGATTTTGACATCATTTTTCTTACTCTTGAATACTGGTTTTCTAAATAACTAGCATATAAAGATCTAAGAGGATTTCTTCTGGTCATAGTCGAAGATAGCATGATTGATTACTCTTAATTCAATAACTTTTGGTGACAAAGTGATTAATCAGATGAGAATGTTCCCTCATAAGCCTTCTGGAAAAATTTCGTCATTTTTTCTTCCACCTAAATGGTTTGCTACAAATTATGTTTGTTCTAAAATTTAATGTTAAGTAGCAACTTGATATTGGTACATTGTTTTCAAAAATAATTTATCATATAAATTTATTCATCACAATTATCACAAGAATAAAAACAAAAAAAAAAGATAAGAATTGAAGTTAAATCAAACGACCGCAGATGCTTCAGTGTTTTTCTTTTTTTCAGTTCTAGCTGGTTTCAAAGGAATATCGGTAACAGCAGTAGTAGTGGTTTTAGCAGGTCTGGTAACAGGATTCGCGTGTACTTTCTGTTTAGGTTTGCGTATTTTGAAATAATAAATAAAACCAACAAGAATACCGAGCACAAATGGAATACCAAGACCCAACGAGAGACCGAGAATTAAACCTAAATCTTGCTCAGCTAAATTAAAAAAGAGAATGGTGAAAAATGATATGAAACCACTTATTTATTTACTTGATGCAGTAATTGACGGTGGTGTTGTTGTTGTTGTTGTTGCTGTCGAAGTCGGTATCATAGTAGTTTCCTTCGATGGAGTTGTCGTCGAACCAGCCAATAAATAATTGACATCTAAATCAAAGTGGATTTACAATTTTATTGAAAACTCTTTTCTTCATTTCACTTACATGAACAATTATAATCATATATTTCTATATTATCTAATGCAAAATAAATCGTTTGATTCAATATTGATTGTTCTGTTTCAGTTCCGTTATCAATACGAAAAGAAAAAGCTAACTAAAAATTCAACATTTTTATTTCTTAATGAATTTTTCTAAAAAAAAAATCATGTCTTACTGTATAATTAGAAAATGTTGAATTAAATGTGACATCGTGAAATTGCCATTTATTTTCTATTGTATCATTTCTTGTAAGATTCGTAATTAAACGTTCATTGTCACTTTCATCATCAGATCTTATCCACACTTGAATCTGCTGGCCCCAATCTTGTCCTTCATCAAAAGTAAAATAATAATAAAATCGAAGACATTGTTCTCCAATTGAATCTCTTAGAATAAGGTTAGTATTGATTGATTCATTGATTGTCTTCAATGGTTCTGATGAATTAAGTGATACTAGACCATATAAACCTATAAAAAACATTAAATTTTACAGGATATGAAACTTGCTTTATATAGAAAAGATGAAATTTTTCATAATAGATTTTCTTTAATTTTATTTCAACTATCAGCATTTAATTAAATTTGCAATATTTATAGCACTATAAAACTGTAACAAGAAATATCCAGTACAAACTCGTTTAGAAAAACAAAATTCCATTTCGTAATAAGAACACTTTTTTTTCAATAGTCAATCATCATGGAGAAAGTTTTACCTAATTGACATGTTGCTGTCTGTCCATTCTCTGTTTTACATTGATTATTATAACAAAAGTTCATATCCCATGTACTGATATTCATACTACCATTCAATGGTAATCGATAAGGTAGTTTGCATTTTTCATTGTTATTTGTTGGAAGGGCTGTAATAATCATCAATATATTTATGAAATTAGAGTTCAGAATGAATATGAAACTTACTAATAGATGTAACATCCGAAGTTGGTGCTTTAGGACGTTCTAAGCTATCAGAAGACCCAGTAGGATTAAATTCATTACCACTAGTTCGTTTCAGTTGATCATTTTCAAAACATGGTGTGGAATCGAAATTACATTGAAATAGTGCAACGAAAGGACGTTCTGTAATTATAGTCGTAGATATCATCGCTGTTACACTTGACTAGAAATATAATTCTAGATTTGTAGATTAATCTTTCCTGAGTCTTTCGTAAAAATGTTTTTTTTTTCTCGTTATTTTATGTTTCTAATGGCTGATAAACGTCATGTGTACATTTTTTATTTTTTAATGAATCACACGACTCGAGACATTTAAAATTCTAACAGTTACAGGTGGAATAATATAAATCACACTCATGTCAAGAATATATACGAAGTATATCGACTAACTATACCTCTTCATTTGTTTGTACTTCAAGTCCTGTTGTTGCGACACTTTCAACAGTCGAAGTTTCTGTTGCTGGTAACCATGGTGTAGTTGTAGCTGTAGTCGGAGCTGCAGTTATAGTTGTAGGTATAATTGTAGTTGTCATACTAAAAGTAAAGAACTGCTGAATATGTGATATATATATATATTTGGTAACTTATCATCGGTGCGGTACCAAGATCATACGAAAAAAACAACGAAGGACATTCTTCAATTTTTTTTTCAACTCAAAAGTTGACGCACTATAAAATTTTGTGTATGGTCTTCAAATTATTTAGTCTATTCCTTCGAAATCTTTTTACAGATAATCATATTCATTATGAACTTTTAAGAAGACCATAGATAAATATTATTTTCTATTTTAAAAAATTTAATGTTTCTGTCAATGACAAAGACATTTTGTTTTATTTTAGTATATAATTATATACACATATACTATTCTCCTATCGACAGTGATGAAGCCAGAATTTTGGGCTATGGACGATTCAAAAGTCCGCATTTTACTGACCTCATTGTTTCTGCTGTTGATGAAAGTGCATCCTTTGTTTTAGAAAATAAACATAGTGTATTAATTAAACTGTATTAAAGGATACATACTGTGGTGAAATCAGTTTCTTGACTGTGAATATAATGGATGATGAGTAGTCCAGTAACGAAAATAATTACTACAATAATATAAACAACTCGAATAGTGAGTAATAATACAAGAAATTATATCATACCAAATTTAAACATCGTGTATGTTAGCGAGACAAATAAAATTGTAATGTCTTTTAAATAGCGATATTCTACTCATCAACAAGTATATGAATATACGTTGCTAAGACAATAATCATGGTAATTATAAACATGATATATGACTTTTTGCTGACGAATATTTCATAAACAGAAAGAATAGGATCAAAACAGCCGTATCCATAACAGAAGCTATAAGATTCTATATCTTGATTCTATGTTTAATAAAACACGCATCCCATCACTATGTGTCGTCAGGACAACAATCAACATTAAAAATAATAAAATGCATGAATCGTAATGTACTACGGGAATTTTATATAGAGCGTAAGAGAACCAATAATGATGTCATTATGTAGGAAGAAGATAACATATGCGTTCTGTATTTATTTTAAATCAACGAGTAGCTAATGTTTTATCTTTGTTTCATTGTCTTTTCTGTTATCGAATAACAGAGATGTGGGCAAATGAATGTTAACTTGTCGAACAAGAGAAGAATAAATATATTATGACGATAATAGTCTGAATTTTGCTTTTTTCCAACTACTGACGTCAAAATCATTTATTGTTGATAGTAGACTTATCATAATTCTACTATGTTTATGATAACAACTAACTTGCATATAATGTATCAATATGTGTCATATTCAAACTTTCATAGATAAATTTCACAATTGTTTCAAGTTTATTATTTCATGAACTGGTATTTACGAATCATTGGTGACTGTGATTTAAATATCAAAGATTTATTTTTTTTTAACTATGATCCGAAAATATATTGAAAGGCTTTAATCTTTCTAAATTTCAACATGAAAGATCATTTTTGTGTCGTAAATGTGTTGATATGATATTTCTCTCACATATATAATGATTTCAATAAACTGAAATTTATCAGAGAATATATTCAAACATTTCACATTGCTTTTATATTGATAAAATTTTTACATTTTTTATCGGTGTTCATAGAATAAAAATGACATTAGAAATATATTGTTCACTTCGAAAGAACAAACTGCATTAAAGTCTCTCTATCATTGAAAATCTTTGAATTTTTCAAAAGTATTCACTTTAGAGATGTGATGAATGTTTCAAAGATAATGTTGTTTTCGAAGAAGTTTCAAGGTAAGAGCTGGGAGTATATAGGTGAGACTGTTGAGTAGACGCAAGAAAAAATGAAACGGATAAACCGTGACCATTTTGATTGTCTTTGATCAATGAAATCTGTCGTTTCAGAGTCAACGCTCGTCGATTATACGTGATGGCCTCTTTCTTTTAATAATCTTAGCGAAATGGCACAAATATTTTAATGCACTAGCATATACACTCGTCTCATCTATTCAACACAAAGCAAGTATTCTTTCTTTATGAACGATAAAAGCGTGAAATAAGATAATTGGCAACGTAATTAATTAAAATACTAACGAACGTCCCAAGAGAAATTATACTAAATCTCAGTGCATTTTTCTCTCTTTTCTTCAAACATAAAAAAAATATTTCATGTTATGCCTGAAGACAGAGAATTGCAAACTCTATAAATCTATTAACTTTAATTCTCAAACAATTTGGTCTAATCGACGCAAAATTTAGAAGAATATCTACTTAGTCGTTCAACTGTGATAGTCAAAAAAAAACAATAAAACTGATGATCATTTTATTATATAAGGATTTCGACAAATTTTCAACTATCTCACGAAATTTCCTCTTAAAATTCTGCAACTCGAAATGCATTATCAGAAATTTTGAGGTAGAAAGAGAACGAAAGCATTAAAAAAGTCCTTTTTCTGCTCGACCTAGACCACCGTTCTTTTCTAATTCAAAACAGCCTAAATATTTTCACAATTAATTTTAATCTTTCCACCATTTTCTTCAAAATTAAATTCTACATACGATAGCATAATAATAAATCTATCGTAGTGCAAGTCTGCCTTTTGAAAGCATAGTTTGCAAAAGTGCAATCAAAAATATCGAGTTGTCCATTTAAAGTAGTTTTTTCCGTGAACACCAGTTATCAACTATAATGAAGAAAGGCTTTACAAAACTCAATAAGTGTCAGTAGAGAATAGGAAATCGCAATTGAATGATGGGGTAGACATAAATCTTCTCAATTTGACGGCAACAATGTTAAACTTGTTTGAAAAACGAAGTCGACAGTGTGAACTTCTCTATCTTTTAATATACAAAGGTAAAATTTTGATACGTAGAGAATAAGAGCAAAAAGACATTAAAATATAGTGCTATTTATTCTGGAACACGCGTTATTATTGGTTATTATATTTTTTTCAAACGTCGTGAATTATCAGATGTTTATAAAATAAAAACTATTGATATTATGATGCCTATTGAGCTTGTTTTAGACAGTCATAATAGGTATATTTTTTTCGTAATAATAATGAACATCGCCCTTTGGAAGTGAATTCTAAACTTGCTTGGTCAAAATTAGAATTCCGATCAAGGATGTCAATGCGGATGCGACCACACCCTATTTGGCTAGTACGTCAGTTATTTTCCGATCTGTATGACTAGTCAAAAATCGTGCATGTAACATTACTCTATGTGGTCTATAATCAATTGATTTTGCATAAGTAGAGTATTTTCGATGGTGGTTTATCATCGTATTCACGATATTCTAAATCATTAATATAAGATTGTGCATGTCTTGGAAATGTACAATATGAATGATTATTCGTACACACAATTCAACTAAAATATGACACATTGTCTTCATTGGATATATCCACTAACATCAAATAAGGTGCATACAGATGCTTAAGAGCAAAGATTAAATTATATTTTGGAAAAAAGTTGAGGATGTGAATGTGGCAACGAACAAAGAGAACACCCACACCCTAAGATCGTTAGTAACGATCAGATTGGGTGCTATCCAACATTGAATAACAGGCAGATCAAATTCATTTTGAATAAAATGCTTCATAGGGTCTATGTGAAACGCATCGACATCCAAGGATTTATTCTTCATTAATTAAGGTGTGGGTGTTAGGGTGAAGTATGGGTGTGGCTTTGGCTGTGGGTACAGGTTAAGAAAAGACCCCCCTCACCCCACACACCCTATATAAGAAATATTCAAAATTAGATAATGTAAAAAAATACTTATTTATTTTAGAAACTGGAAACAGATACAACGCAAGGCCAAATAACTTTTCAGGACGTTAATGATGCTAGTAAAATGATCCATAGTAGTGATGCTGTTCAACATATTTAGGGCCATAAGTGATAATATTTTCAATCGGTAAGTTTCACTAATTTTTTTCTACAAAAAATGTACGATTAAATGGAGATGCCATCTAATATCATGATGAAAATAGTGTCGTGCGCAAGGACGACTTTTCGCAACTATACCCAGGGCGGGTGTGAGATTAGCATGGATCTTCTCTTCATAGAAACATTACACTTACCCCACACCCTAGATAACCTATCTCTTTGTTCTCTTTCCACTGCTAAAAACCGCAAGTCTCTAGCTTTTGTCAAATAAGAGTTATTAAACTTTCTTTCGTTTGCATTGCACTTGAAAATGAAGAATTGTCATTTCGTTACTGTAACCAGTGATTAATGTGAGTTACTTATCATGAAGGAAGTAACTGAAAGAAAAGAAAATGTGACAGTCCTAATCCAAATGATATCGCTTGGTTATTTTATTGAATCGAACTAGAATAATCAACATATGTCAGAGCTATATATGGAGAAAAAGTATTTTAAAGTAGTGATCTAGCGCAAGTCTCTATATGTCCAAGTGGTTTATGCCAGTGCCAGAACCTTTTGCCATGATGCACGTGAAGTGATTCGATTCCACCAATCTTTGACATGTGGTCGTGATTCGAAGAAGTGGCCTTCTTTAAGTCCAACTAGACGATTTCCATAGGATAAATGGAACAAGTCAGCCAAAGTGAAGTTCTATTGGCATAGAAAAAGATAGAAGTAAAGTATCCAAATATATAACAAATAGTTTCAACATAGTTTTCACTCAGGAATGTGCTGTTTCCTACGAAATCGATAATCTATTCCTTCATACACAAGAAGAGTTCGCAGAAATAACGGGCTATTTCCAAGATATTTACCAAAAAAAAATGAATTAATTATCGTACGGTTCCTGCTTTATTACAGGGAGAAAAGAATGAGTTACATACTTGCCCGGCCAAGTAGGGCTGCTTCGAGAGAATCTTCTCGTAAACGTCCAATTTGGCATTCAGTTGCTCTCTGTACCCTGCAATTTTGGCCTCATCTGGATCACCAAGGCCCTTCATACTATTAAAAATACGAGATTTCATGTGAACCAAAATGAAAGTCAAGAGATCCTACCCTTTGAAGACACGCTCGAAGACAATGCCACTGACGTACGGATCATAGTAAGACAGT